TATAATTAAGATCATAGAAGACCGGTTGTAGGTAGCAATCCTGGTTCAAGAGATCACAAACAAACTGTAATTCTTCATTTCACAGGAAGGAAATAATAAACGAATGAAAATAAAAATTTGCACACAAACACAGAAAAATCAAATTTCTTCAAATGCGCAAGCCTCAAAACACCTATTTCAAATTAGCTGGAAAGCATGTTGCTGGGAATGCTTTAGGATGAATGACCTCAAAATAGATTTTCCTTATCAAGTCATTCCATTAAATTGCCCAAAGCTACCCTCTTTTCAAGAGGTTACTCCAAAGCTTGCTCCTCTTGTTGGTCACATCTCCACTACACAAGTACAGCTCCACTAAACAACAATCAGTACTTCTATTCAGTTCAAATACACACTATACTCAGATTATATAAACACAATTATATTCCTTAGAAGTTCATGAATATTTGAACACCGCAAATGAAAAACATCATAATTGAAATCATGCTTTGCATACATCTTCTTGATAAATTCAGGAAAGCTATGCTTGAATTTATATTTACAATAGCATGGTTATATCTTTGAGAAATAAAGAGGAAGAAAAAAGAAAGGGAGCTTCCTGGACACATGAATAAGAGGTTGGTACACTCAGATAAAAATATTAAGTCCGAATACTAAAATACAGCAATGAAGGTGATTTAACTATTTTGTTTCGAAAAACATTCTTAGACTGATCTTCTCTGCTTTGGTTTTACTTTCACTTCTCAGTACTATTTTCATAAAAATAGCTACTGATTTTAATGAATACATTATGCATTGTATCTCATATTTTCATAAAAAATCTTATTTAAGATTCTAAAAGTTATTAATGATACAAATATTAAAAATATATCTCCCAGGGGTAAGTGTTATATTAGAATTCCTATTCGCTTTAAGGATCTCTGAGAGGTTTACTACGAAATGAAAATAATAAGGTGAAGAATTTGAATACGTGAAAAAAAAAAAAAAAAAAAAAAGAAAGAAAGAAAATCTTCTGAATTTTATTTAATTTTAGACAAAGGAAATTTAAAGACAGGTGGATTAGTCCACATAACAATCTTCTCTCTCTCTGTGTGCATACAAAATCTATTCAGATAAAATATACTTCCAGTAGTACATTAGATGTGTAAAATATCGTAGTTTTTAAGTTTCTTTGGCTGATGTTTTATCTCTGTTAAGAGTGGCTATTTCTTAATCTAAAAGAGATGAAGGATTAAGATATGTCAGCAAATCCTGATTAAACTAGCTTAACATTTCTGTAAGCAAAGGAACATAAAAAAGGTTCAGAAGGTACAACTACAATCCTCTTTTAACTGATTGATCACAAGTAACTTCTGAGAAATATCACATTGTAACTGAAACAAAAAAATCATGCAGATAAGCTAAAAAACGCTTGCATGATTAATTACATGCTATTTATATTAACAAATATATAACATGTTTAGTACTGTTATGAAACACCATAACATCACACAAGTTTCTGAAAGGAAATATATGACTACTATGACAAAATACATCAAAAAACCAAGATAAAAATATTTCAGAGGAACCCAGGGTAGGAGAAACCTTTCTTGGATATTAATTGCAAAAACTGTCATGAGGAGGACCCATGTTAGATAAAAATTTACTACAGTAATGTAGATAGCCAAATACTATTGGCTGTATCCTGCATGGTTTGCAGGTTTTAGGGGCACTGATTTACCTAGAAATAGGATCAAGTTATAAAATAAAATCCATTTACATCCATAAAAGCTGGATGCCAAAGATATTGCGTCTTTTCAAATACCATTCTGCCAGCTCCACTCTCAAATCATCCTCATCCTCATCCTCAATCCTGATAAACAAATACATGCTCATTACAGTAGCCAACAAATAACACTTCTAATTGAACATAAACGAAAAAACTGTTAACTCCTTACTTCATAAATAGTTATACATGAAATATTTTGAAGATTTATGACTCCGTTAAAGCCCATAGTCTTTATTTTCCAGTCAGAAGTAAGTCTTCTGTATAAATTTATCTGTTATTTTTTTTCCTCTCGTATACAGAAGGATCGATTACAGTAATTCTTAAGAAAAAAAAATCATATTTCCCTGAGGGTGAGCTAAGCAAACACAAAGCTTTTTCTCACCTCTGGGATAACAGTCCCAATCGAATGCCTTAGATTAAATTATTTTGCTGTTTTGAAATGTGTTGGTTTGGTGGTTCCCAAAGGGCAGAGACAACACGAATCAAAAAACACAAAACACACTGGTAGTACTGTCTTTCAGCTAAGAAGAAAAAATGTCCTTCCCCTCTTCTGTCCGTGCTCTAGCATGTTTGGTTTTGCTGTTTAATACTCAGCAAACTGGGTATCATTGTCAAGCCAAGCTAATAAAATCATCTTTTAGTTTAAACTATGTACAAATAATTATTTTAATTATAATAAAAAATATTTAATTATTACTTTAATTATTAATTGTGGGAGGCTGCTAAAAGTATCCTTTGCCTAAACAGAATTAAACAATAGTTCCTAGCTGGAAAATCCATGTGACATTAAGAATCCGTCTACAGGTATAAACATCCCCAAATAGTATTTATTCTGTACTATTTTTTTCAATGTAGTTATTTCCATGTAAACTGCCTTGTAAACACTTGAGTTCCAGGGGAAAAAATGTTTTTTCCTGAATAAGCATAGTACAAATCTAGTAAACCGAACATTTCAAAGAGAGAAATTTCTTACCAGAAAAGACTCTTCACATATGAGCTCTCATTCAATTAAGTGTTCAATAACATCTGCTTCAGTAATGATACACGTATAAATTTTGTTTGATTTAATAATTTCAATTATTTATATATAATAGACATCACTACGGAATGAAATAAGATGAAAAAAATCTTACCAATCTTCACTACTCCGATCCCTTATTTTACCCTAGCCCAGTAACTCTACTGTTGTCACTTTGGTAGTTGGTTGATTCTCCTTTCCCCCAGCTTTCCTTGCTGAGCACACTGCCAGAGGGCCAACCCTTAAGTCAGCTGGCATCAGCTCTGCTGACTGTGTATCCACACAGCCTCTTGTGCATTCCTAGTGCTTAAGCTGGAGGTCAGCACAGGAAACCAAAATATAAAATCTTGGAAGGGATTCAAGAAATTGACATTTTTTTAGACTTCATTGTAAATATTTTTAAAACTCACAGCTCCCAAAGTTTACTTTGCATATTTTCACTTTTCTCTGTTCTACTGAATTTACAATAAAAACATATGCTGGAGATCTGTCCTGATAGATGCAGAGGCACAGAAAGGTATAAGACACATCTTGTGGCAAAGAATATTTAGGCATATGAAATAACTGTCTTAAAAGACTGAAGGATTGATTTTTTATTCCACATAATGCAGAAGCTGTTAATCTGTCTTTTTAGACACTTTTAGTCACTTTAGCATTCCTGCCTTAAATGTAAAATGGAGACAGCTGGAGTAGATCTGAGTTGTTTTGAGACTGAAAGAAAGACTAAATTACAAACTTTATAGAACCATTGAATCACAGAATAATTTTGGCTGGAAGACACCTCAAAGCGCATCCACTTCTGAACCCCGTGCTGTGGGTAGTGCTGCCCCCCACTACCTCAGCTGCCCAGGGTCCCATCCAATCTGACCTTGAGTGCCTCCCAGGGATGGGGAACCACAGCTTCTTTGGGCAGCTGTGCCAGGGCCTCATCGCTCTCATAGTGAATTATTTCTTTTGACCTGCCATAGCCAAGCCACGAGAGAAGCTGGATGCACTTTCGGAGAACAAATGTAGGAGACGGAAACACTGCTGCACAACAACAGCTGGGAGAGAGGGGTGAGAAATGAGTGAGAAGCGGCCACACAGGCAGCCAGGTCAGTGGAAGAGATTCTCCAGGCACGGAGCATCAGCTCCCTGCGGCCCAGGAGAGGCTCACGGAGGAGCAGGCTGTCCCTGCCTGTGGGAGGAGATCGTGGTGGGGTTGGAGGGCTGGGGGAGCTGCCACCGTGGGGCCCTGTGCTACAGAGCTGTGCAGGGGTGGCCTGTGGGAAACCCAAGCAGGATCTGTTTGCAGCAATTACTTACCTTTTTTTTTACCTTACAAATATCTATTCCCTGGTTGTTGTTTTTTTTTTTTATTTATTAATTATTCTAAACTAACTTTTTCTGTCTGCAGTCTCCTGCACTTCTGTGGAGGTCTACATTTTAGACCTCCATAGTTGGTAATAACCAACTCTTGTGTAGAAGAATGCTCAAAACTCTGAATTGGAAAAGCAGTTACATAACTTCTTGTAATTACAGTATGAAACTTTGCATCCCCTACGACTTTTTTGAGTCCTCCTCTCATAAACTGGCTCGTTATTATTCACCACTGGTGAAAAAGAAAGGACAGAACTAATACACTGTTAACAGACTGCTTTACTGCCTTAAACTACTTAGAACAAGAAAAAATGAACAGGTTCATTAATTCTAACAGTGCTTTTGCACAAATAGAAATCTTATTTTTTATTTTTTTATTTTTTAAATTAGAATTTGCACAGTAATCTTTTTAGGTCAGCCTTGATCTACAATTTTGTATCTACTTCATGATTAGAAAACCTCTGCTAATCAAAATTTTACAAGAGGGAAGAGTTGTACTTTTTAAAATTTAGTTTAAGTAGTTCTTATTTTCTTATTCTAAGGTATATTCAAGCAGTTGGAATAAGCTGCGCTTAAAAAAAAAAAGATTAAGGCATGAGAACATTTTCCAGTGAAGTATATCATCGTTTCTAAATAAATAAGTATAAAATATTTTCCCTTACCTTAAAGTCGTGTTTCAGCACAATTCTGACATGGTCTATACCTCAACTACAATAGTGCATTTAAGACATAAAGTTGGAATTAATAATCTTTGGACACTATTTTTGTAGGAAATAAAAAGGTATGTTGAAAAAGATAAAAAAGTAGTAATATTAAAATAATATCTAACTGCAATGAACATAAATTATATCTACTAACCCACAGCATGAACCGTTCTCCTATGCTTCTTTGAAATCTTGTTCGCCTTAACTATGTGCAGAGCATTTTCTTTGAACTGCAGCTCACAAAGTCTTTCAAGAAGAACTGTTATTTCTTCAGTGATAGTATCCAGATAAGTTTCATTAATGAACTTCAGAGATGAAGAAGGATCGATAGTTCCACTTAGTATATAGAAATCTTCTCTTATTATTGTGCATAGTGTCGGTATGGAACTTTGGTAGCCATGAACGACCTTATCAAAATTCGTTTCACCACAGCTAGACAAAACACAATTCTGTAGAAGATCACGAACCATTTTACTCTGCATATTTTGATACTTTGATAAGACTTCTGATTCAGGATAAAGGAACAGAAGTTGCTGTATGCACTGAGTTTTAAGCTGCATTTGTTGTTGTGAAGCATTGGGATTTGTCTCTTCTTGACTTTGCAGCCTGTTTACTAAAAATCGTCGAAGGTGCAGTCTCACATCATCCCAGAGAGATTTCACATCCATTGTTGAATCATCCTCAATGGCATGAAGAGAAGATGTAAACTCAAAAGACATCCCACTTGGAGAACAGGGAAATGAAACACCACACTGACTAGAGAGATCCAGAAGGAAGTGAAGAATCATTTCTTCTTGATTTTGCTCATTCTTCAGCAACCTTTGCTAACAAAAGTAAATCAGACAGTATTTCAGAAATATTTTGTTAACTCTGTTAATAAAATCAACAGCTTTATGCTAGAGTACCAGTTACTTCCATTGTTAATTATCTTACCAGCAAATAGAATGAAACTAATTGCTCTATAAACAACTGAAATAACAAAGGCTGTTTTCCTATGTACTTATGCTTCAGTCCATTTCTTTGTCAATCTATTCCAATGAACTCACATTCCTCTCCCTATTATTCTTACATCCTCAACTCAGTTTTTTTTCCATCAGTTCTAATCCACAGCTCAAAGGAAAGATGAGAAAAAACACAGTTCACTAGATAAGCCTTGACAGTTGACAGGGCCTGTCTGTTCTGGTCCACACCACATCTTGCAAAAAAAACTGTATTAAATTAACATTTGCAATTTACATGTTTTACTTATAAAACTAAGACAGGAATTTATAGAATAAATTCTGTTGCCTTTTGTGCTCTGGCTCTTTCTCTCACATCTGAGAGAAAGGCTACTGTAAACACAAAATAACATGCCCATCACCCTCTTAAAGAACTAGAAGTGAAAACTTGTGATAAACTGAACAAACTTCTCCCTGTTGCAGGCTGGCTTTGCCCAGAGCTCTAGGCCCACCAAACTTTCATTTTACAGACCAACTCTCAGTCTTATAGCTGCCGAGAAATAACAGATCTCCCATCACAGTCAAAAGAAAAATGAATGAAATAGGTTGCATTCTTAAATCTCTGGGTTTCAGGAATCAAGCAGAAAAATTTTAGGCGAACCAAGGTGTAGAGGCCCTCTCATCTGCTTCCACACCTCCCACCACTTCCCTCCTACGTCTTCCAACAAGGAAAGGATCATTGCAAACTGCAAAAGGATAGTTCTTGGATAAGAACTCCCTCCTATGTCCTTTATCCTAGCTATCTGACTGTACAGATGGACAAAACAACTTCCAGTGATCTTCCACCCTCAGAACTAATTAATTAGTTAATTCTATTTGCAGAGAGTTACTGGTTTTATTTCCTCTCTCATTCTGAAAAGGAGAGAAATAAATAATATTGGAGTATCGTACTACTGTAATAATTTTGAAATATAAAATATTCACTTTAACCATTTATTAATAAAATTTTAAAATTAATATTAAAAAAAAAACAAAATTTAGGACAAAAATTTCAGTGTTACTTTTGGATTTTTTATTAATCTTTTCAGTCATAAGAATTTTTCAGCATTGGAACTTCTTTTTTTTTTCTGATGATTGAAAACTGTTGAACTCCCAGGGGAAAAAATAATAGTAAAACATTCAAATTAACATCTAGCAATTTTAGAGAAATGTGAAAAGCTCTCTTTTGAGCCCAGGAAATCTGTGATAACAGTACATAGGATGAGACTTGCACTTCACTATCTAATCTAGGCTAGTTCCAGTTATGTTAGTACATATATCCAATATTACAAAGATTTTCTTTTTAAAAATGCCATTATTTTAGGTGAAGTTATTTCAGTGAAGATGTGTTCATATACATACTCAGCTTCTAATTATTTTAAACTACAAAATATCAAATAGAATGTTGGAATTTCACATAATAGAATACTTTTAGTCTTTATGAAGAATCTCTTAGTGTTTCCACGAGTTTCTTGAAATTCTTGAGAATATCACACTAATAAAAAACCTAAATATAGCTAATTAGCCACTGCATATATGGAACTTGGCATTATTTTTAAAATATTGTTCTAGCAGCTTAAAAGTTAAACGAAATTCCTAACAAAACACACATATGGGAAGGGGTGTAAGAACAAATAGAAATACTGTCCTGAGGCAAAAGGAAGGCTAATCTTAGAAGATATATTGTATGATGTTACTTAATTTGTCACTTGCAAGCTTTTATTTAACTGAGTAATTAATTCAGTGGATGGAAACACTCAGTTAAGAAAGGTCAAACTGTAATAATCTCATTAATGCTGAATACTACTGCAAACAGTTTAATGCACGTGTTTATGGACCTAAGGGTTATCTACTGTGAGTCTAACTCCTTACAGAAGGACTACTTATGCTAATATATACACACTTTTCATCCGTAGTCCCACCTACACAACAGGCTGGATTATCTGAGAAAGTAAGAGCCTGGAAATAGAAATGTCCCAATTCCCAAGCTGCACTGTTTTTCTTGTGATAATCTGTGTAACATTAATGTTTCAAAGCTTCTCACACTTCACTCTCTGTTTATCAGCCTACCAGTTTAACTGACCTCTACAGCCCACAGCCAGACTAACATGAAGTCTGTAGACTCTTGGGAAGCTGAAGAACTAGAAAGCAAATTTTGTGTATGATGTAGCCAAGGTATTCCAGACATGGAGACATTTTGGAATTTCCCAAACAAATGCCACCACCTGGTGTTCCGGTAAATGGCTTGAACAGACTTGACAGAAGGTGAACGCAGGGAGTGGACACAGGTATGTAAGCCACCATTGTCATCACCTTTCCTAAGGGTGTTACGTAAGGATCTAACTAGACTAAGAGGAGTAACAAAAAACTTTGCAAGTCAGCATGAGATTCTCTCATTTTGTCTAGATCAGGTATGACAAGTAGCAGTCCAACACTCTTGAGCAGGGTGATTATTAACAGCAACATTCAAACTGATCACCTGTGTCAGAAAGGAACTAAATCATTTCTTCAACACGTGAACATTAAAGACCTAGTATTTCTAGAACTTCATGATTTGAAAAATCTTAAATGATCTGTGGCTACAAATAATGAATTCAGTGGAATTTAAGTGATTGATAGATCAACAGCCAGTTTCATGAGTCAAAATAAACAAAGTGATTTGACGAAGTTTAAGCTTTAGCCAGAAGAAATCCCAAACGAAAAAATACTGCACTGCTTGTAACTAGATTTCCTCTACCAATACAGAGAATCTCTGCCTAGAGATATTGCAATCCTACAATGGAACCATGACAAAGAAGCAAACCAGAATAATTCACTGGATAAGTGTCATGGTTTTACATTTTTTGGTTTTCGGTATTCTACATCATAACATTGTGCAGTGCACTGGGAGTTAAAGTGTTAATGCTCCAGTGCTGGGTACCTATCCCTGTACACTTACGGAAGCCATTCATTTTCTGGTAGTTCATTGTATGGTGGGGCCTCTTGAGCTCACAATACCTCTTCTCCTGGTGATGTTCCAAACTTTGTACCTTCAGGCCAGTCCATGATGACCTCTAGGATTCCTGGACAGCTGAGGTTCCCCATCCGTGCTCGTTGTGTAATCATTGCAATCTACTTGCTCCAAGTGGCATCAGTAGCATGATGGGTGGAGGAAACCTTTCCTTTAAACATCCAGTTCAGCACTGGCAGTCGAGGTGCCAGAAGAAGCTGTGTTTCAGTACCGACTACTTCAGAAGCAGCCTGAACCCCCTCATACGCAGCTAAGATCTCCTTCTCAGTTGGAGTGTAGTGCTCTTCAGACCCTCTGTACACTCAACTCGAGAACCCCAGGGGTTGGCCTCAGGTCTCTCCTGAGGCTCTTTGCCACAAACTCCAAGTGGGATCTTTCTCTTCAGCAGCAGTGTAGAGGATGTTCTTTACATCTTGTCCTGTCCATAATGGCCCTACGGCCAAGGTAGGGGCTATCTCCTGCTTAACCTGTTCAAAAGCCTGCTGCTGCTCAGGGCCCCATGTAAACTTTCTTCATCCGTGTCACCTGATAAAGGGGGCTTACAATGAGGCTATGGCTTGGAACATGCATTCTTCAAAAGCCCACTGCACTCAGAAAAGACTGCATCTCTTTCTTATTAGTGAGTGGAGACATGGCAGTGATTTTGTCAATCACATCTACTGGAATGTGACAATGGCCATCTTGCCACTTTATACCTAGGAACTAAATCTCCTGGGCAGGTCCTTTCACTTTGCTTTCCTTAATAGCAAAACCAGCTGGCAGAAGAATTTGGATTATTCGCTCTCCTTTCATGAAGACTTCTTCTGCTGTACCGCCCAACACAACGGTTTCATCAATGTACTGCAAGTGCTCAGGAGCACTGCCCTGTTCCAATACAGTCTGGATCAACCCATGGCAAATGATTGGGCTGTGTTGTCCCTGAGGCAAATGGATTCAAATATACTGAATGCCCCTCCAGGTGAAAGCAAACTGTGGCTTACATTCTGTGGCCAAAGGAACAGAAAAGAAGATGTTACCCATGTCAATGGTGGCATACTCTTTGGCTGCTTTTGACTGCAGTTCATACTGCAGTTCTAACATGTCCAGCACAGCAGCACTCAGTGGGGGTATGACTCCATTCAGGCCATGATAGTCTACCATCAACCTCCATTCTCCACTGGCTTTACAGACTGGCCATAACGGGCTGTTAAAAGGTGAGTGAGTTTTGCTGATCACTCCCTGACTCTCTAGTTGATGAATTAACTTATGAATGGGGAGCAAGGAATCCCTGTTGGTGCAGTACTGCTGTCTGTGCACCGTTTTTGTAGCAATTGGTACCTGTTGCTATTTTACTCATTGCAACCCCACAACAGATTGATCTTCTAACAGGCCAGGCAAAACAGACAGCTGCTTGATGTTGTCTGTGTCTACAGCAGCTATTCCAAAGGCCTACCTATATCACTTAGGATCCTTGAAATGCCCCCTTCTGAGATAATCAATACCTAGTATACATGGAGCCCCTGGGCCCGTCAAAATAGGATGTTTTTGCCAGTCCTTACCAGCGAGGCTTATCTCAGCCTCCAACACAGTCAACTCTTGAGAGCCCCTGGTCACTCCAGAAATATGGATTGATTCTGTCCCTTCATGACTCGAGGGCATCAGAGTGCACTGTGTGCGCCAGTATCCACTAGTGCCTTATATTTCTGTGGTTCTGATGTGCCAAGCCATCAAACCCACACAGTCCAATAAACTCTATTATCCCTTTTCTCCCTGACTGAGAGAGGGGCCCCTCTATTCATTACCTGTGGTAACTGGAGCAAGCGCACTGGTAATTGATCTGTTTTGTAATTCTCTCATCCGTTCTTGTAGTACAGGAGTAGCTTGTTCATGCCACTTCATTGTGTCTACCCATGGTCACGTAGGTAATGCCAGAAGGCAAATTGCAATGCAGTATTCTTTACTGCAGCCGAAAAGCATTTGCCTTTAACAGCTGAGATTTTTGATGGTGCATGTGAGAAGGAGGGTTCATCATCTTTAATTAGTTGAATTTGCATTAGTTTGATCAGCTGCTTCATTAGACTCTTTTGATTATCCTGATCTTCATCAAGCATTTCTGATACTACTACAGGTTTATCATGATTAATTACTAGAGACCTTTGCTCTTACATTTCTCTCTTTCTCTCATTCAGTTGGTCCGTTATGTGTGAGATAGCGGAAATGGAAGTGTGGTTTGGGAGTAGTTGTTTATAGTTTTGGAGCGTAAGAATCAATTCAAAACCTAAGAGTCTTCTCTGTGGGTCCTGGTATCTGTCTAACGTTGCTGTTAGTGTACTGGTGTATCTTTCTGGTGCTGCTGTTGTGATTTTCCACCATATATCAGGTGTCGTCCTCACTTTCTCAGGGTTGTGGTCTTGGCGTGGGTGGTTTGGAATAAAGTTAGGGTCACAACATTTCCACCATGGCTATTTCCCTCAAATACTGGATACCCTTTTCAACTGTATCCCACCTTTTCATCACAGGCTTCAAGCAGTCTTTGAAGGGATGCCATTCCTTCTCGGCTATTAACACTTGTTCCCAGAGGAATGGCAGCCCCATCCAAATATCCACTAATCCTTCTGTCAATAGCTGGATCTCTCGCAATGGTGCCTAGTCGGCAAACTTCATTACCATCTAGAGACAAGCTACTGGCCCCTCTGTCCCAGCAGCGAAGCAATCGGGAAACGAGAGCTTCATTCGGGCACCGTGTAAACTCCTTTCTTGAGCCTTGGATTTCAGTCATCTTCAGAGGCCAACGAGTAGTAATAGAGACTTCCTCTTCATCACTCTTTTCTGCATACCTCTTAGTTTTTCCTTTTACCTTTCCTGATGATGGTGATTCTGAGGAGGGCCCCTCACCTGGATCACCCTCCACCTCCTCCTCCGCTTCTTCTTTTTTCCATTCTAGATGCAAGGACACTCATTTCCATTTCTTGTTTTCCAAAGGGGCAACTGATACTGTTACTGGTGTCTCCTGTAATTTATCAGATTTGACTTGGAGATTTTCCCCTTTGGCTTGAACCTCAGCTCGGAAACTCTCTCTCTCCAGAATAGCATTATACAGGGCGCGGTAAACAGAAGCCAAACCGCAAATAAGTTGTACCTCCTTGGATTTATGTAAGCCGCATCGTCTCTGACTCAAATACTGGCTTAGTTTCTTGCGATCCCACAGGTGTTCAAGAATGAAATCCCATGACACTGTGGGTCCCCACACTTCTGAGATTTTTCCTAAACCTCTCCATATTCCCTGCCAGTCAGCATTCTCTGGTTTTAGAAGAGACTCCTTCCACATATCATGAATGCATTGGAATACATTCAGGGAGACTGATAACATACATGCACATCATAATGAGTATTAATTCAACATTCAAAAAACATGTGACAAACTGATAAGAAATCCTGGAAACCTGTGTGAACATTCTGTTGTTTCTAAAATTAGCTACTCCATTTGGGATGTAGTTGTTTGAAAAATTAGCCATTCCATCTGGAATGTAAACATCAAAATTCCAATCATACCACATCGCATATAAGTACTGCGCAGATGTCTCCATCAGTGCCCTTGTTTGGTTATATATGATCACAATTGCACAACAACTAATCATGTCATTGACAATTGGCCAATAAGTTGCAAGTAAAATAATGGCTTTTAATCCCTTACACACTGCCTCAACGATAAAGAGTGGGTTCATCGCTGGTAGCTACTAAAAAGGGGTTAAGGGGGACAAGAGGAGAAAAAAAAAAAAAAGGAAAAACCACTGTCCAGACTAAGCAGTTCTCAAAATTTACAAATATCCCAGAATGCTGGCAGTACGCTTGAGCTTTCAAGGTCAAGTTTTTCAGCACAGAAACCTGAACTACTGATAATGTTTCCTAACGAAGCTCTCTGAGAGCAGAGAGAGTATTTGATTCTAAAAGCTAAAAAGCAGCTAACGCCTGCATTCTCCACCAAAAACTGTCACGGAGTTAACTAGATCAATCTATGCCTGTGACGGAGGGCAGTAGGCCCCCCCCACGGCCCCACAAAATGAGAAAGGAAAGGGAAAAGGGATAGGGAGATGGGAGCTGGGCTCAAGGAAGGAAAAAAACAGTGGCAATGACCTATGGAGGAAAACTTATTTTACTAACTGTGTTATCGGAATGCAAGATAACACAATATAATACAATATAATTGAAATTGAGACTAATAAATCAAATAAGATAGGAGAGAGAGAGTTCCTGAGACCAAGTCAAACCTGAAAAGCTTGGAACGGCTACGAAAGCACCCTCCAGCACCCACTGCCAGGCAGTAAGAGAGCGCCCCACATGGAAGGGCCAGACCCCATGACTTCCATAAGTCATGTTATAGGGATAGGTAACTGGAATTGGAGTATTAACACTTTAACTGCCAGTGCACTACATGATGTTTTGATGTGGAATACTGAAAACCAAAAACCATAAAACCATGACAATAAGGTTTAGATTTATTTAGACACCGGTATATATGCATATATGTATATATCACACACACGTGGTTAACACACAAAATTGCAGTCTGCCATTTACTTAGTTATCACCCTTCACTTGTCTAGTCAATTAAATTTTCAAAATTCCTCATCTATATTCTCTGATTAACTTTGCATATAAAGTTTGGATAACTTTCCATAATCATAATTTTTTTTCCCTGAAGTGAAATGGAATTTCTAGATAAGTTCAATTGCACTTACTGGAAAAATGGGTATAGCTTCTGCATTTCAAATTAGTAAAAGTAGGTAGAAAGGTAATGATTGAATAATATGTAAAGGAGAACTATCAGAAGGATAACATTCATATTGATACATGTGAAGAACAAGCCATAACATGCCTACAGTAACTTCATATGTTTTTATCTACATGTTTTCATCTACATGGGTTTACAAAACAGGCCTAGCAGTGCCCAACATGTGGAATAATCGGTAAAAATATTTTGCCCCAAATCTGTGCAGTTAGGACATAATCAGAAGGAAACATAAGCAAATGGTACTAAACTTCATAGAAAAATTTCTGAACTATACTCACCATAGAGAGAGACAAGAAAGAAACAACTCAAACTATAACCAACTGTCCCGAAAATTACACCACTCAGTAAAGATTTTTTTACCAGAGTCCTAAGGAACTCCATCAGTTCTCCATGCTGTGTAGATGAAGGACGGAGAGAAACAAAATTGCAGTTGTTTAACCACTGAAGGCAGTCATTTGTGCTTTGTAGTATTTCATCAGTACATATTTCATTTACTTCTGATCTCAGATCTTTAAGACATTGTTCCATGCTAGAAAAAAAAAAAAAAAAAAAAAAAAAAAAACCATAAAAAAAATTGAAAATAAAAGTGTTCTATATATTCCATATCTCAAAAGGAACAACTATTTCAAATTAACGTGTAACACTAGTCCTTCTTAACAAATTACTCTCATAAAATGAAGTTTGAAATTTCAGCTTTAACCTTAAAATACATATGTGAAAAAGTTCTCAAGTAATCTTGTACTTTCTAGTAAAGAAATCGGTGAATAAGATATTGCTTAATTTGACATCTGCTCCTTGGTGCTCAATTAGCTAAAGAAACAAATATAAACCGAATCAGCTACCATATACAAAGCTGAATGTTTGATTCTAGCAATCAGTGGTTCTTTTACAGCACATAAGATACATTAACAACTTCATAAAGACCAACTGACACATCACAGCAAATGCTGAAAAGAATTTTAGAGTCACTTCTGCTGAGAAATCAGATCTCTTTTACTTGCTGTTATTAGAACAATTTGAAGGAAACAGTTTGTTTTCAAGTAGCTGATCCACACCCTAAGATTCCTGTCTGTGAATTGATGTGCGGTTGATACAGTAATTACTGTGATTCCAGTTGTAAAAATCACAAGCCTTATATCTGAAAAGATTTCCTTATTATTGTTATGGGCACCTACACAGAAAGAATAAAACAGAAAAATCTAGAAACAATCACATTCTACATCATTTCCTACCAAAATACCTTTTCATTCTTTAAGATCTACTTTTCTTATATAGTAATACTTAATGTTTATTACCATTTCCATTAGAAAAAATAGCACTTCCTAGATCCATGCAGTCCTATGTATAAAACAAACAGTACCAACACTTAAGACAGAATTTTGGTTTACTGCAATGAAAAACAATTCTCACTACAATTTTATTTGATTTTGGAGTATAGTACTTATTCGTATTCTTAGAGCTGATAAAAGATATAGGAGCTGATGCAAATTAAAATTCATTTATTTATACTACCAAAGTAGTAGAAATACTACCACTAGTAAGCACTCAGATGTTTACAAATACTTTACTGCCTAATACTTCTAATCATGTTGCTTCCTATTTTCATGACATCAGCCAAACAAGAAGGCATAATGTACTGCCACTTGCCCTTTTGTTTTATATAGATAAAATATGCTTGTTCTTCTCCATATGCTCTCTTAATACTTTTATTAAATTAAAAAAGAGAAGATGAAGACCAGAAAAGGAAGATAGGAGAAGAGTAAAGATATGAAATTGAGAAACAAATCAAAGTGAATAAATACGGACTAGAACACTAGCTTAGAGACCTTTACTTTTTGAAAGCAAACGCAATACAACTAATACATCTTCTTCAATTAGTAACCTGGAGTAAAGTATCGACATTTTCTTCACAATAACTTATCTGGATAGGAAGTTTCATTTTCTATACATTTATAAAAAATGAGATTCACTGTAAATATGAATAAAGAAAAAACCTCAAACGCTAATAACCCATATGAATTTGTAACAAGAGATGAAAAGTCACTTTGCTTATCACACACTGATTGCTCAAAAGTAATGCCTCCTATTTATTCCTATTGAAACTATAACATCTACAAAGAGAACAGTAACAGTGTTTGACAGAGGAAATTCTAAGCTACAAAACACTCTTTTTTAACAGTCACCACCATTAGCTGTGCATTTTCATTAGCAATGAACAAGAGCCTGCACGTGTGCTCATAAAAATGTGCACCAATGGAGATCATCCATGGTTATTATCATTACTGCTGAAGCATACCACCCTTGGTCTCACTATGCTCACACCTACTGTTGGGTATCCATAACTGCTCCACAAGCATCAGTGAATGTCAGTGTGGGTATCAATTTTCCTCATGGAGGAACTCAATGACACACTTTTGCTTCATCCACACTTCCATGTCAGACGCCATTCTGTCAAAGCACTCGTCCGCTGCCATCTGTCACAGGGCAACAAAATGTAATAGGATATTGGTGTAAAGGTTCAACCTCTACTGCCATACCACCAATATCCGCCTCTGATGTTGTGGGCCAACATAATGGAATAGGGAACATTACTTTTCATAGAATCATAGAATCATAGAATCACCAAGGTTGGAAAAGACCTAAGAGATCATCCATCCAACCGTTCACCTATTCCCAATAGCTCCTACTAAACCATGTCCCTCAACACAACATCCAGCCTTTCCTTGAACACCCCCAGGGTCGATGACTCCACCACCTCCCTGGGCAGCCCATTCCACTGCCTGACCACCCTTTCTGAAAAGCAATACTTCCTCATGTCCTGCCTGAATCTCCCCTGCCGTAGCTTGAAACCATTTCCTCTGGTCCTATCACTACTGGCACGAGAGAAGAGGCCGACCCCCAGCTCACTACAACTCCCTTCAGGAAGTTACAGAGAGCAATGAGGTCTCCCCTGAGCCTCCTCTTCTCCACACTGAACAACCCCAGCTCCTTCAGCCGCTCCTCATAAGCCCTGTGCTCCAGACCCCTCACCAGCTTTGCTGCCCTCCTTTGAACACGTTCCAGGGCCTCAATGTCTTTCTTGCAGTGAGGGGCCCAAAACTGGACACAGCACTCGAGGTGCGGCCTCACTAGTGCTGAATATAGGGGAAGATTTTGGAGCAGCCCTCATATTTCGTCATTTGATAGCACATGCAGCACTGTTTTCAGTATGTGGAAGAAGTATTTATTTGATTTGTCTACTAGATTTTCTCCTTTATTGAGTGATTTACATTTGATTTTTTTTTTTACAGATATTATACAGTGTATCCTAATTTCCCAATAGTTGCCACATTCTGATCAGCAGCAAAAAAATAAATCACTATCATCCTTACTTTTGGGAACTGATTGTTAGTTTGAATTGTCATTTTTGAAAATCAGTGTAAAACAGTAAGAAAATGATCACATCAAATTATGTTCTGAGATAAACAGTAGACTGTTTTCCTTTTATGTGCAAGTTGCATAAAACAAATACAATACAATAATATATAGCAGTAGATACTGTGAACAAGCTGAGTAGATAAAATGCACTGATGGTACATACAGAATGCAATGACAATCGTAAGTACTTAAGTGCAGAATTATTAACATTTTGAAAGGGAAAAAAAGAAGTACATGTAAAGTTTCCAAAGCAATGAAAGCTGTACAACTTCTAAAAACCATTTCATCAAAATAAGCAGGACATTCGGAACAGCTTATTTTCACACATTTAATTGTATTCACTATGAATTATGGTTATAACTGTTGTATGCATAAAGATAAGACAAATGAAAGCTTATCTACTTCATTGAGATGAAGACATCGCAGTTTACAGCTGCATTAGCTTCAGAAACCAAATTCTGTAAATAAAGAGATGGTAATATACATTAACATTTATTAATACTTGGGTGGCCTATAGAACACCCTCCATAAGACTGAAGTGAAAATCTTTTTGAGATTTCTCTGAGCATCAGTGATGTCAAAATGAAGTGGACTGAAACAAGTACCTTCTCATAAGGACTTTATCGGGGCACTATCAGGACAAATCACTTCCACACAATCTTTCTCTGCAAGTGACCTTGTCAGGTTCCTGATAGAACAGTCCAGGCATGAGGATTAAAGTTGATAAAAGACTGGCATTTATCTTTTTCAACTAGTGAAACATGCTCCCAGGACTACAAAGCATACACCTTGACTCTGAGACACAAACAAAGGCTTTTTATTGTGCCATACTGAAGTGTCTCATTCACACCCAACAGATGGCAACATGCACTGTAAAGGGGACTACTGTTGTTGGTCTCTGCAATGTTCTTTAATTAGGAACCAATATTTACATTTGTCTTTGAGAAACTGTGGACTATGAAAAGGCTACAGTCTTCACAAACCCAGACATCTTAGCAGTTTTTCTTAAGACTGATAAGGGGATTATGTGGATAAATTTCATTGAACCCTGTGGTACTAATCATGATAATTCTAATCATTTTGTTTAATCCTTCTATCTCAATAAATAGGCTGCTTGTACTAAAACTGTTTTCCATTGAGTAAAAATATTTTCATACAGTTTACTTACACCATACCATAGCTGAACATGATCTCAAAAATATTGGTATTTCTCGCTTTTAAGATTTTTGTCAAAATACAGTATTACATGAACATGATTAATTTTGTATACTTACTCCTTTAAAACAATTACATTATTAAATATTTAGGAATTTGGATACTTCTGAAAAAAACTACAGGTTTTATATATTATATGAGTTCAAAGCAATTAAAGCAGAAGGCTTCCTCCAAATATTATTAAAATTATCCTCACTGTACAAGACAGTATCTAAAGCTTTATCATTTACTGCCAGTGTAGAAAATGAGTCTATTTTCAAAATTTGTTGAAGTTTTTAAAAAAATAAAATACATGATCTTGATGGCAAAAATGTGCTTAATGCACATTATATAATATATTCTTAAAATTACAGTTGTAAGAAGGGTACAATCAATTTTTTTTTCCAAATAATTCTTTTTCACTGAAAATTAACTAAAATTAACATTGAATTAAAATTTAAATTTTAATCCAAATTTTATTTAAATAATCTCTGGGTTTTAAAAAAAAAAAAACAGGCATAAGTCCAGATGAAATCAACTGATAATCAGTATACAATGATAGGACCAGGAGTTATCTTCATATCATGTGTGGGGTCAATAGAAAAAATACAGCTATGTTTGTACTCCTCCTTATCAGTATCAGGCAGACAAAATTTGGAATACAAAAGGGAAATCATTCTTTTTCCTGATTACTGTAGTTAACTATGTGTTTGCTCCATTTGTATTGTGTTGCTTGTTTTTCCAAAAGAGTTTTTCTGAAACTCTTAAATCTAGAGATATGACAAGGCATTCAGTGAATGTTTTTAGATGTCTGAGTTCCAAAGTTAAGACATTACTGAGCCCAACCAGAAACTCTTTAATTTTGCTATTGAAAACCAGCTTATTGGTACAATACTAGAAAATCTGTGTATTGTACAA